CTGGAAGTTGAAGTCCACTCATCTTAAAGTGGCCACGTTTGGACAACACTGCCCTAGCCCAACCCCAGACTGTCCCACTGAAATTCAATTGCAAAAATGAAAGCTATATTGCTCAAGGTATACATTCCACTGCTTTAACCCCTTCCATAAAAGAATATAAATAATTCAGCCACTCTCTCTGGTGATATCATTGCATTGCAGGGTATATTATCTGAAACTTTTTATTTATTTATTTTAAAAATTGAGCCTTATATCACCCACAGACACACACACACACACACACAAGATTTCCATCTCTGGTTCACAATTTAATGTGATATATGAATCTAATAAATTCCTTGTTTATTCAACAAAATGTGATTCATAAAACCATGGCTTAGGAAGATGTGTGATCACAGCCACTTTTGGTTGCTCATTTCAAAAAGGGAAGACTGAATTTTGATACAGACAAGCGTTGGTTCTGTTTGTACTCAGAGAAAAAACAATAAAGATTTTTTTGAAAGACTGGAAACCTTATACTGCATGGACTTTTTGTTAAAAAAAGAAAAGACTGAATTGATGATTTCAGGATTTGGGGATTAAGAAGGGATGAAGAGGATAGGGAAAATATTAAGATGATAATTACTCGATAGAAAAAAGGGTGGAAGGCATAATTGTATGTTTCCCTTTTCTCTTTATCTTACTTTCTACCTCTTTTTTGTTTTGTTTTGTATACTTTTACTATATTGAAATATATAGAGAGGAGTGAGTGAGTTGGTTCTGTTTGCTTGCTACCCAATCCAAAACTCAACAGAGCCACTGGAAAAGTATCAAACTGCAAAGAATTATAGTGACTCTCCAGCCTTTAATCTACACGTGAACATTTTGTGGTAGGATAGAGACCATTTCTGCACAGAAACAGCCTGCCTACACTATTCACAACATCATCTTCAACTTAGCAAGGGCAACATTAACAGACTAGCATTTCTTCTTGCTTCTACCAAACTGTAGTGGGATAACATATACTAGGAATCAGAGTTCATGCCAGGTTACAGACTATTTTAAGTTTGTAATATTTATCACTAGATGGCAGCAAAAAGCTAATAAATACTGTGCCTTCTGCTTGCCAAGCAACTCTTGTTCTCCAGTTCCAGAAGCCCAATGCTTGCTACCACAGTGCAGAATGGCTTCTAAAGGCCCTACCTTCTTTCCTGAACTAGTTATCAAGCCCACCTATCTCCAGCCAATTATGATGTTACAGAACTTGCTCCCTTATTGCACATCTATAGAACCAGTAAAGATATAGGGAGCTGCTACTTGGATGGATTTCTATCTCTAGGCAAGTCCAAGGGCCCAGTTAAAGCTTCTTAACCTTGAATATCTCTGCAAGAAAGAAGAAACAAAGCACAGTTCAGGGGGCACAAAGGTTTTCCTGGATGATACCTTGTGGTTCTAGCCACCCTCAAATTTAAATCTAAGCCTCCACAGCCAGGATGAAACACAACATGATGCAACTCTCCTCTCTGCCTCTGCTATTCAAAGGGGAGGGAGAAACAGCTTCCTTCTCCTGCCTTCTGGCACATTTGCTATCTAGATTAGTTCTTTGTTGCAATAACAGTGAAACAGCTCCCCTCATATAGCTGTTAAGTATTTACTTTATTGGCCCCAATATATTTTCCCATGAACTCTTTAAAGGAAGCAAATATCTTATATAAAAAGGCACATTTTTTCCTGTTCAGATTTTTGTTGTTGGATGCTTTAACTAACTGATACTTCTGGTTTTCTCATAACTGCCAATACATTTCACAAGAGCAGTATGAAAATGCTGGGAGAGAACACATATGCTGAAAAAACAAATACATTACCAAACTGGGACACAGCCCTTTTGTATTTGAATAATTTGAAGAGAGCCAGGCACAGATAGCAGGCGTGTACCATGATCTGTCTCTAAGTTTCAACATATTACGCAAGAACATTAAAACTGGTGTCTACATGGGAACTAGAATCTTACTCATGCAATATTCCTGGATGGAAATTAGGAGGAGTGGATTTTGAAGATGGTGGAATTTGCAGAAATGTCAAAATTGACCTGTTGGATCAGGGATAAAACAATAAGTACTTTCATAAAAGACTGGAAACCTCTTATGGACTTTTTGCTGAAAATGGAAACAAATGAGTTGGGGATTTATGGATTTGCTGATTAAAAAAAGGTTGAATATGGGAAGAATGGAACCATATAATGTAATCTTAAAGAGGGAGGAAAGATAGTAAGTTTATTTGTAACTGCTGTAAAGAAGATCGGAAGTTGCTTCTTCATGTATCTTTTCCTTTTTCCCTTTTCTATCTGTACTGTTCCCTGCATTTTTTTCCTTGGTCTTCCTTTCTTTTTCTTAATTTTTCTTTATATATTTTCATGTTTATCTTTTATTTATGTAAAAGTCTCTAATAAAAATTAGATAGAGAGATAGAGAGAGATAGAGATAGAGAGATGGAGATGTAAGAGATTCTGCACACATCCAGCTGGGATTTCTATTCATGCGGAAACCCATATGCATAGAGGTCTCCTTGCAATATAGCTTTCCCTTTGGCTAATACTGAAGATTAGTATGTGGCTGCTAGAAAACAAATCAGAAAGGTGGGTGACCTCAGGATGGAGGCCAGTGTTTTGGACATACCGCTTTGAGATTCCAACAAAGAATAACATGGAATGTAGGAAAGACATCCGGTAAAGGGCTCATGAGTCCATCTGCCTATCAGCAGGTGAGCCCTCCAAAACCAGAAGAGAAATGGACCAAATCTGCTGTGGGGGAAGAAGCCAGCAAAAGAAAAGATTAAGATAAAAAACAGGCTGGGTCCAACTAGCAGCTGTGGAAAAAAAATCCTGAAAAATATTCTCCAGGGCATCCCTATGGGAGACTCAGTGGGGCAGGGCTCAGAATGTTACCATCTGTTGCATTCCAGGCCCGCTGCTCTCTTCCTTCCAGGTCACATGACCCAGAGGGGTCCTGTTTTTAAGGAATCAGAAAGAATTCCAGAAGCCATATTCTGCAGACTTTCCTTTCCTTTGTTTATATATTAATCATGGTGATTAATTTACGAAGCAGGCTCAGATGTGCAAAGGATAAAAGGTGAACGAATGCATTTTGGAGCAAAGTATGCACACTGCATATAGAACTCTCTTAATGAAAATTTGTTTGGTTAAGTTAAGTAGGATTGCATCATTTGTAAACTTTTGAATTTTATTCCAGACAAACAAGATACCTTACCTGTCTCAACTGAGAAAGAACAGTTCTCGCTGACATCAGTAATAGATGCAGATTCTCCTTCAGAGCAGCATAATTCTCCATTTTGTTTTTGACATGCATAGAACTCTACAGGGAAAAAAAAGTTCCCTGGGCTTTTTAAAAAGAAGATAACTACAACTGAATGTGTAATTCTTCTGTGGTAAATATATTTGCAATAGTTAGGAAATGTTATATGCATATACATTTATTAGTAAATCCAATTTGCATAGGTTAAACATACACCATTCTCTCTGTTGTCATTAGCTAGCCCTTCTCTATGTTGAGGATTGTTAGAAACTGTACTGAACTCCTACACAGCAAGACTGCGAAACCCATCATGCATCAGATGTGGCTAAAATACTATGATTAATATCTCTTCACTGCTGGCCGTGCTGGCTGGAGATGTAGAAAACTATGGATTCTTCCATGGGGAAAAGGTGTCTCAGAGCACACAGGAGTGCTCAAGTAGCTCCTGTTGCAACTCCTTGAAGCAGCTGCACATTATCCTGAGGTTGCACAGATGCCTACCGCAGCTGCCACATGATCCAGGTAAAAGACATATTTGGTTTAAAGAGTTGCCAAGAGGTGCTACAAATGCTTTGAAGCCCTTTCCCCCTTTGGCTCTGAAGCTTTCTATAGCCCTAATGTGGAGGGCCATCTTAACCCTAAGTCTCTTCAATCAACATAATTTACTCCATTTTGAGATGCATCTCCATCCCTCACCTTCATCTGAGGGACTCTACCTCACCTCATGGCGCCTGCATCCCCATTATGAAACCAGGAGCAGCAAATTAGAGCCCTCAGTCTTTCCTCTTTCTATAGATGGTAAAAAAACACCACCAGGTCAGGTTTCCCTGCTCCTAAACTAAGATGCAGTTGTTCATTGTACCTCTTTCCATGGGAGAATCTGTTTTGGAATTAGAAACACTGGAGGAAGATTTATAATGCTCATTCACTTCCCTCTCAGATTGTTCTACTTGTTGATGTGGGAATTGCTGGTTTAGGACCTCATAGTTGGCCTCTGCTGGCCCAGATCGGTTCATACACATGAGTGACACCCCTGAGAACAATATGCTGATTGTTACAATTACCGCAGTAGTAATCACCTGGCCAAAAGAGAAATGGAAAGGAGGAAAGAGAGGCAGAAGTTAAACAAGTTAAGCATCATGTATTTCTAGTGCCTACAATACCAAACAAAATATACAACCAGTTTTGCTTATTTGAGGTTTTTTCAGTCAAATTTTGAGAAACATTAACTGCTGTTCCTCCTCTTTTCATTGTGTCATATCCATTCTTTTTCTTTTAAGCTCATCTACCATCAGTGCACAGTATACATTCCAAAAGCTATATATAGGGTTATGCAAATACCTTGGCGTAGCACAAGCCAGCCACAAACATGTGATTTCTCACTACATCTGACTAAAGTCATGTAACACCTGCAGGAACAAGGAAGGTGCACTATAGTTCCTTTTCTACAGGCTTCCTCTCCTAAGGAAAGGCTCACCAAGCCTATTTCACAGAGGGCTTCAGAAAAACTAACTCCCTGTTTTCCCATATATATTTTTTCCATTTCCCAAATCTACTGATCTCAGTATATTATTCACCGTATTTTAACTCCATTTTATTTTATTCTATATTTCATTACTACTTTATAGAAACATTCTTATGTATTGTTGGTGACACAGAAAGCTTTAGTGGGTATAACTACAGATCACTATTAATTGGTACATATACATATTTGGATAGCCTAACGATCTTTGACATTTTGCAGGATATTACACAGGATAAATGATGGATGATCCCTTCATTTTAGATGGGCTCATCTTCCATTTTGATGACAACCTACACAATACTACTTATATTCTCATCTAGACCTGTTCAAACTGACAAATTATATGTGGCAACTGATGTCAAATCTTCAGTAATCTTTGAATATCTCCCTCCCAAAGTTTGTCAAGTCTGGAGAAGGCCAGGTTCTTAGGGTTCTTCCAATTTTGGTGAACAGGTATACAGTCAATTAATTTAATGCCCACCCACCCCCACTTTCAAAAGCTGCTTCTCTGTCAAATAATGAGCTATTGAAAGGCACTGGTCGACAAATGGCAATAGAAGACTCTCCCTACCTGATGTTTACCATAAAAAAATGCGGAGTCAATATCACCAGTGTGTTTTCCAGCTATTAGAAGAATTCCAACAATAAGTACTGGGATGCTGCAAAATGTAGAATACAGTATAAATCATACAGAACATTAGTTTGTAACATTCTATACATTCCTTAGCACAAAACCTTTGCAAACTTACCCCCAGCCAGCTATAGTAATAATTCCAACAGGAATCTTTAGGGTTGCCCTTCGTTTCAAAAGAAGAAGAGAAAGGGATAAAAGGCCTGTTAAAAACAAGGAGAACATCTTAGTCTTTCAGGACTTAATCTTTCAGGAAACAATATTCCCCCACAAAAGGAAGATACCTCTCCTTCCCCTTCTCTGTCCTGTACTCAAAGGCAGCCACATAATAATACATAACTACACATAACTGCTGTAGTTATATGCAGTAAAACTAGCTTGTGGGACATAAGAACCTAGAGCACTGTGTTTTTCCAACTCACACCACTAGTTCATCTCAAACTTCTTTAGAACTTCCACTGGCAGGTGGCGGCTCTCAAACTAGAAAGATTTGCATCCAAAGCAAATGCAATTGTACTGGACAATGATCCTCATCTTACTAGATTTTCACAGTTTAAGTTCTACAGCAAATTTAGATGGATGGCAGAGACAGGAAATCCAAACAGGTAAGGAAAATGATAGCCACGAGACAGCTGTGAGCCAAGAAGTGCTACTTCAAATCTCACATCCACTGGTGCCATCCACCTAAATGAACTTTAAGCAAACCTGTTCTCAGTGTCCATGCCCATCCTGCAAATCGAAAGCAATACATCACTACAGGGATATCACACATACTTGGCTAATATATATGGGTGAAGCCTGCAGATGCTATAAAAATGCTAATGATTCTTATTTGTATATTGCAGTGGTTGGTTAAGAAGAAGAAAAATTGAGAGCATTCTATTTTAAAGTGAAAACAGCTTAATTTTTGCAATCATATCGGTGTAGCTCTTGCAAGTTTTCCAATCACATACAAATTTATCCAGTGTTGCCAAATATAGCATATGGGGAACAAATGGCAGCGGTTTCAGACACCTTTGTGACTAGAGCTGACATGAGGTTTGGTGTTGCAGATCCCAGCTCCAAATAACATACAAGATCAGTCTGCTTGTTAAATGTATAATGCATCACCAACCAGCTGGCTGTGAACATTACACAGAGAGGCTGTACTGAAGGAGAATAGAGGTGGGCCCATGGGAGATCCATGACTCAAATCATGTCTACTTCCAGTCCTTTTATCACCCAGAAGTCACTCTCCAGATGATCCCTTCTATTGGGATAATCAGATATTTCCTTTCCTATCCATGATACCTGCCTTCTCCTGACCTTCACCCAAGTCCCTTCCCTCGATGCAAAATGGGACATCCCTGATAAACTAGGATTGGGTCATAGTTATCTAAGCATGATCCTTCAAGCAAATCTTTAAAACTACATCCAAGTTCATGTGAATGGACTTCTAATCATGCAATGGCAACCTCCTTGGGTTTTTTCCCTCCTGCATCTCTGTAAAGGAAAGAACAGGAACAGCTACTAAGACAACAGTCAGATAAAAGAAACTTGAGTCCAGGATAGAACTACAACCTGAGAAAGCCTCTCTGACAAGACCTTCCCTAGTTTTTACAAAAATAAAGGGAGGGAGAGGAGAAGCGCATTCAGACTTCCAAGATTCTATTACTATAACCTTATAATAAAAGTGGCATTAGCCTGCATGACTTTGGTTTCCTAGACTGGTCTATCTTGAAGGGCTAAAAAACTCCCACACAATCCAATAATCTATTTCCAGACTTTACAGAAGATTTTAGGAATGGACAAGAAGATTGAATCTGATTCAGTGGTAGCTGTTCCACTGGTAAAGGGACTTAACTGGATACAAACTGGTATTATTGCTTATACTATGGGTACACAGTGTAATCTCTAAGCATTGTCCCTTAGCATCACACCACCAAAGAAAGCATATATTGCTTTATGGGCCAGAAATGACTTTCTACTTACCCGTCCACAAAAAAGCACTATAAAGGGAACAGTACAGGACGATGAACACAATAATATGTACAAAGGTGCTTTTCTTCTCAATAGTGAAATTCCACATTATCATTCCAACACAGGCCACACACTAAAAAGTTAAAGCAGCTGTGTTTAGTGTATATTTTATGATTGAGATGTAACTGAAGAAATCTTAATTAAAATCTCTCATAGAGTAAAATGATTAACTCTGCATGATGCATCAGAGGTAGCCCTATTTTAGAAGAGGCACGTCCTCCTGTGCAAAGATAAGGATGCCTCTAAGGCAGGACATGACAAACAAGCAGCACGGCATCATCTAGTGCAGTCAGGCCATTGCCAAATCTCATTAAAGCACTTTCATTTGAAAGCCCTCTGGTTTTCAGGCAAGAATACTGACATTGTTCAAAATTAAAGTGGGACTGCCAAATAAAATAAAATAAAATAAATAAAATAAAATAAAATAAAATAAAGCCAACATTTTGACAATCTCACAAGATTTCGTTCAATCTTTTTTTTAAAAAAAAAATTGGGACTCCACAGACACTTTCTCATAATGCTGCATGTGTTTTGGAGTCTACAGTTACCACATCAGCACTGTATTGTATAACGTGTTTCTTTTATTAAAGAATATTCCATACTATTAAAAACAAAACTTCTTTCTCAATTAACACTAAAATACCAAAAAGAAAATGCTTAATTTTCAGACAAGGATAACTTGGCAGGAACACAAAAAAGCAAAGTACACTGTACACAATCAAATTGGAAAGGAAATTCCCCACTGCCTCTTTTGCACTGCAGCTGCTAGTTAAGATTTCCCCCAGTTTGATTCTCCCATTGCAATCTGCAACATACAGTGGAGCAAAAAAGTATTTAGTCAGCCACCAATTGTGCAAGTTCTCCCACTTAAAAAGATAATGCTGAGTTGCATCCAAAGAACACCATACCTACTGTGAAGCATGGGGGTGGAAACATCATAATGCTGAGTTGCATCCAAAGAACACCATACCTACTGTGAAGCATGGGGGTGGAAACATCATAATGCTGAGTTGCATCCAAAGAACACCATACCTACTGTGAAGCATGGGGGTGGAAACATCATAATGCTGAGTTGCATCCAAAGAACACCATACCTACTGTGAAGCATGGGGGTGGAAACATCATAATGCTGAGTTGCATCCAAAGAACACCATACCTACTGTGAAGCATGGGGGTGGAAACATCATAATGCTGAGTTGCATCCAAAGAACACCATACCTACTGTGAAGCATGGGGGTGGAAACATCATAATGCTGAGTTGCATCCAAAGAACACCATACCTACTGTGAAGCATGGGGGTGGAAACATCATAATGCTGAGTTGCATCCAAAGAACACCATACCTACTGTGAAGCATGGGGGTGGAAACATCATAATGCTGAGTTGCATCCAAAGAACACCATACCTACTGTGAAGCATGGGGGTGGAAACATCATAATGCTGAGTTGCATCCAAAGAACACCATACCTACTGTGAAGCATGGGGGTGGAAACATCATAATGCTGAGTTGCATCCAAAGAACACCATACCTACTGTGAAGCATGGGGGTGGAAACATCATAATGCTGAGTTGCATCCAAAGAACACCATACCTACTGTGAAGCATGGGGGTGGAAACATCATTCTGGATTTTTTTCCCTCATTTTGTCTCTCATAGTTGAGGTATACCTATGATGAAAATTACAGGCCTCTCTCATCTTTTTAAGTGGAAGAACTTGCACAATTGGTGGCTGACTAAATACTTTTTTGCCCCACTGTATGCCTCATAAGGAATTGTGTGGGGACAGGAATTCCCTTTGATCTAGACTCTGAACTTACATTATATTACAGGTGATTCAATATCAGGTATTACACTTATGTATAACTTATGCTTACTTTTATTCACAATGTTTCTATGGCAGTTTTTGCTTAAAAAAATACCAAGGTGGTTCCATCAGCAATGTTCCATCACGCACTCAATATGAAATGCATGCAATAATGAATTCCAAACCTGCATGAGCAGAGTGCTTGCATTATGTGCCTTCTGTAAAAAAAGAATGCTTTCTACAAACTACAAAACAAACATTCCTGAAAAAAAATATATTTAGGGACACAATTCTCCACTTTACTGACCTGAGCAATGAGTAAGTTAGTTGTAAGCATATGAGGAAGCTGTTTGTATTTTTTACTCAAAAGAATAACACCAAGGGACCAGATCTGAAACACAGAGTGAAGACAATGTAAGGTTTTCACTTCTCCTAAATAATTATAAAATATTACACACAGGCCTTTTTTCAGTGACATTCAAACCGTTCATGGGTTTTCTGCTACGGGATTTTCCCTGCTGTAACAAGCAAGCAAGCAAGCACATTTCCATAACGAACTCAGGTATCCACAGAATGGAGCTGAAAATCAGTCTGTCTGTGTTTGCATTTTTTTCTAAGCTAGCTAATTATCCAACCTTAAAAATGAAGACCCCCCTCAACTAGTCTGGAGTTTCACAGCCCTAGCCCTTCATCTCTGCAAGAACATTTCCACTAGCCTGATAAAGAGTTCAAGGTTTTAAATTTCACTCCAGGCAATTATCTCCGCCCCAAAACTGAAAACCCTAAGGGGGAAAAAAGAGGGAGGGGGGCAGAGTACAATGAACATTTACTTCTCTTTCTCCCCTTGGCCAAATAAGCTTCTCACTTAGTAAGCTGGCCATGTTTGTTTTTCACCCATTAGTGAAACAGCATACATCTTTTTCCACAGCAGACAAGGGTCTGCTTTACTGGGAAAGGGACTGAATGGAATTGACATTCCATTATAAAGTAAAAGTCTTCAAGGAAAAAAAAAAGAGCCTGCAATCTTGCAGATTAATCTGTTGAGCTGCTGGTCACATTACACAGAAGACCACATTTGTGGGTGCATATGATGGGCTTCTTGCAAAAAGCTACTGAACAGGCAAGGGGGTGGAAAACCCTCCATTTATCTTCTTTTTAAGTTTTCAAGCTACCAGCTTCTGCCTTTTGTTGTCTTCTAACCAAAATGCCTTGTCGCATTCATTACTAAGTACAGTATATTACAGTTCTGATTAACATTCTGCCTTCCTTCTCAATAAATCTCGGGATGATGCATAATGTAACAGAAATGCAGCATGAATGGTATGACAGTTAAAAGCAACAAAACAAAATCTAATAATTTATCATCATAATCAGTGTGTTAATTTTCCTCAATGTCATACATTTTATTTATTTCATTGACTTGTATCCCATTTCATGAGGAGTTCAAGACAGTGTATACTGCATTCCCTTCCATCTTTCCCCCACAACAATAATCCTGTGAAGTAGTTCAGGCTGAGAGAGTGAGAAAGACTGGTTGGTTCAAAGTCGTTCAATGAGCTTCTGCGGCCAAAGGTTGACAGAATCCAAATCTCCCCTCTCCTATTCTGACACTTTAATCCCTACATCTGTAGAGAAATTTAGCTGTGGCCTTTGGAAAGAGGAGGGAGAGGGGGAAATGGTTGCAAAGTAGAAAGGGTGAGAAAGAGATTCAAAACAGCTCCAGCCTCACTTTGTTATCTTGAAAAAAGGACAATGAAGGTTTTGGATGGGCTTTCAAGATTCTGCGAATGTACCCTATAGCAATAAAGTAAGATTCTTGGAGTCCCTGCCATGACTGTTGCTTGACCTGGCCTAACTTGAAGGCCTGACAACATCATTAGGGTAGCTAGCTCCTATTACTCTGCTTCTCTTCTGGCAACAGACTAAAACAGAAACCAGTGGCGCAATTCTGTACTGTACATATTTACAAGTAATTTAATCCAAACTGGATCTTCCACTCACAAATAAGCAATTTGCTCCATTACCCCCAGGATATGTTCAAATTACCCCCAGTTTAAGAACCACTGACATAGAATGTATTTTAGATGGGACTATTAGCACCAGTTCTTTCACAGCCTTATTTCCCTCCCCATCTTTTAAACACAGAACAGCACAGTTCTGATTAACATGATACTCACCAAAGAGATCAGACTAACAACACTAATATCAAAGCTAACGTTCTGAATTGCTGCTGCCAGTCTGTCTGGATCCATAGAGGGAATGGTCAATAGCCAAGCAGAAACATACATGATGGGGGCAGACACAAAAGTACTGATCACCATTCCAGAAGTTATCTGCAATCACAAATTAAAGTAACTGTATGTTTCCATACTTCATTGGATGCCCAACACCTAGGGTATATTTTCTAATTTCTAATTCTTCTGCACCAGCTTCCTCTTTGAGAGCTACCATAGAAGCATATTAGTATGTTGAACAAAACCATTATTTCACAGGCTGATCATAAAGACATTTTTGTTCTCCCATTTATTTTACTGGGATAGTAGTTTTATTTATACTTCCTTTTACATGCATACCACATCCCCTTACTCTCACAGCAAACACAGAAAGTATGGATGTTCCTGAAATCTTGAGGAACAGTTACCATTCCTTATTTTTGCCCATGGTCTAAAAAGCTGCTGGAATACTTAAGTAAGGATTGTTCTATCTGAAACACAGATTTCTGGTGGCTTCTGCCATTTTTAAAAAAAATTATCCTGACATATTTTTAATTGGATATCAAAATTTAGAATTATAGTTTTTAATGGTTGTGCAATGCTTCAGGGACAGAAATTCTGTAGCTAAGAAAAGCAATAATGACATTAGCATTAACACTTTCACTGAACAATTTATGGCCCGAAAAAAGCTATTTTTGGTTGTTCATGGCAAACTGCTAATAACTTGATCATCTCAAATAAAAAAGTTCTACTTTTGCAGATCTATCAGAGGATTCAATTTTTTTTAAAATGCTAGCTTTCAAATCTCTGAGGTCAAAATTTGAAGGTTGGCCATAGTAAAAGTCTTACACTACATCTGATTAAACAGGTGTTGTCATGGTGTGAAAACAGCCAGAGGACAGCAGGGATGAGAATGCATAAATAATAGCAGCCTATTCCTATGGAAATTTTCTTCTTCACAAATAATCTCAGAAGTAATAGTTTAACAATAAAGAATGCTATATCATTATTTTTCTCTCTCTCTCTCTCCAAAGGGAAATGCAATAAAGCAAAGACAAAGCCTTCTGTTTTCTTTTTTAAATTACTCTTACGTAAGGTTTTTTGTCACCAAGTTAAATGTTTTAATATGAACCAATTCATGAGTTTGAGTTAACTCAGCTTTTACTCAAGCAAAATTAACTGCAATTGAAGTTAAACAGAAGAATGTACATTTAGATTGAAAGATATCAACTTTACTACTACTTATTGTCAGGCTATACAGTTTTTTTCCCAGGGACTTCTAAAATTAACCAGTTCTTTTACCCATCCAGAAAGTTAACCACAAAAATGAACTTCAAAACAGATGCATGAAACTTCTGAAATATCCATCAGCATGTTTAATTACTTTCTAAATAATTAAGATGTCTATAATTCTTCCTCAGTTTGAAGAAGCCAGTAAAACTTGCATGAAGAAATTAGTTATGAGGAAAAAAAATACTTAAGAGACATACAACTTCTACTTCCATGTTAAACTGTGTTGCAAATATAGCCACACCCGGAGCTGTTGGAAAGACTCCATAGAGAAATGCATAGTTGGATAAACTGGTATGGTTGACCAAACTGTGGCTCTTGTCTAACAATTCCACCATCTCCCTGCATAGAAGGGGCATCAACAGCCTAGAAGAAAGAAGGAAACACAAGCTACTCAACTGGAAATTCCAACAATTTTTTAAAATTTCAATATGAAAGCTGAAGGGTAGTTGGCACAAAGCTACTGTGCAGCATTGCCAACTCACAATCTGCCCATATGATGCACACTAATACTTGAATAAGATCATTGTGATTGCAATATGAACAAGCAAGTGCCAGGAGACATGACCAGTTTCAGTTCCAATTCCAAAGCACATGTACACTGGTAAACAAAAAGGGTCTTCTCCCTTCTAAGCGTCAGTGCTCATATCTAAACAGGCAACACAAAACCAAAACCACCTAATACCAAAGTAATCTTTAACAAAAAAACAAAAACAAAAACAAGTACTTTTGACTTTATTTACTTACCATACTATTTCCCCACTCAATCCTAATGTTAGAGACATACTTTCCAAACAGCATTACAAATAAAAATGGCCTAACTTTGAGGTGCAGAGATTCTAGAAATGCAGCAAAAGGTAAGAAATGCTTCTTGTCACAACCTACTTTTCACCTACCTAAAACATGAGGCAGGTGAAAAATAAGACATGGACCACTGATCGTTTCTAGGCAACCCATGTCACTGAGAGTTTTGCAAAACAGTTTAGGACTACTGCTAATATAGCAAGGTACTTACTATATTCATACTCTTGAGTTAGTAGTTAAAACTTATCAGTGGGCCATTAAGGTTTTCAAGAAAAGAAAGTTACAGAAAGGCATAATAAATCATGTTAGTGTAAATTAAATTTTACTCAAATTTCCTTCTCTTATCTCCTGCCTTTCATTTATTTTGCCCACTGCTTTTCAATCTTTCCTTTGTTTTGCATTAGTCCTACTTAGAGTAGAGCCACTAACTTCCAAGAGACCTAAATTAAAAATTATTTTTCAGTGAATCTTCTCTTTGTAGGACTATATATGGATTTAATTCTAAATGTAATATTTTTGGAGCACTGGTTTTGTAGCATTCATCAGTCCAAGCACAAAGTATTTGAAGATTCTTACATTTAATAATCTTAAATTCCTATAAAGTAATCATCAAAATAAAAAGGGCAATCAATTTTATAACCTGAAAGAAAAATATGCAGCCCACTTTTTAAAAATCCATTTTTTTAGTTCATGACAAAATATTTAAGACTTAACCCTCAAGTCACAGAAACACAAGGGGGAAAAAAACTTACAGTTTAGCTGTAATGAGAAGAATCAGTGCAACAAATGTACCCCTTGTCAGTTTCTTTATTTGGCCGACCATGGTGAGACCCAGGTAAAAAAGTGCTGAGCCAGAAAATGAATTGGCAAGACTATCAAGGAAGTTTTCCAAATATACAGGAATCTTTTGTTTAAGAATGTAATTGGAGGCAATTCCTATGAAGACCATGAACACAATTGGGTTCTGCAACACGTGAAGAAGCCCCAGTCCTACAATCTTCATCTTGCTGTGAGAGAGATTCCGATTGTCTCTTGATTTCTGGATTTCACAGAAGATAAACCCCAAGGGGTTTAGCATCATAAGAGATATTGGTGCAACCAGGTAAATGTACTGGAGATACTCAGGATAGGTAGTTTGATACAAAGCTTCAACTAGAGACAGAAAAGAAAAAGCTTATGGACAGCCATTAATCACACTGGACATGCCTTTATTCTTACATTTTATCTACTGTTCATGTAGTAGATGGAATAAGGTAACAAAAATAATCTTATTCAAAATTCTTATTCCAACATTCTAGTTATTTCACCCATAGCAGGATCCATACTTAAGAGTAATATTCCATGGCTTCATATACAGTATCTAGCTTATCTTAAAAAAAAAAAAAGTTATCAATTTTATTTCTTAATCTTCAAATTTCAGCCATTACTCTTAATGCTTTACACCACAGAAGTCATTCTCATTCTGATAACCCCACGAGTATTTGTATGATTCCAGCTATCCTCCAAATTCCTGGTGCTAGCTAAGGATGTTAAGAAGTATAGCCAATGCACTTGGCAGGCAAAACTGTTGCACGACAATTCAAGAAGAATGAAGATGGGTATCACCTAATTAAAGTAATCACAGATTCTAAAATAACACATACATTGAGATCCTGAATGTGTTTGAACAGGTAAGAGCCCTGCCTGAACAGAATTTACATATGGGACAGTGCTAGAGCGTCTGACACATTTTGAAGGTAAAGTATTTCATACTTGAAGTAATTTTGTGGAGTTTGAAATGGATTGTTCCAAATTTAGTGGAAGTGTTCCAATGGTATACTCACTATTGTGGAAGAATTTCAACCTTCAAACAGGTATTTCAAACCTAAAATAGCACTTTTTGAATTTGAAACAAGCATTTTGAGTTTGAAATGGTTTTTTTTTTTTAATTTAGCTCAGTACACTTCTGGAATATCAGAAAAATGCCAAAATATTTTTAATAAGATTAGAGTACTGTCTGAAACACAAAATGGAACTTTTTGCACACTACTGTGACATTATTCCCTGCAGAAAGGACAAAACTCCAACTTTCATCAGTCGTGTTTCCTGTTACACAACCTCTTCTGCCACCTAAAAATTTCTTCCAGATGGTAGGATGACATTTTGAACAATGAAGAGAAGCAACAGGTTATATCAACAACAACAACAACGATAATATTTTTATCCTGCTTTTATATATAATTCAAGGTGGTGAACATATCTAATACTACTGCCTCCTATTTTCCCCACAACAACCACCCTGTAAGGTGGGTTGGGCTGAGAGAGAGTGACTGGCCCAAAATCACCCAGCAGCTTTCTTGCCTAGGGGACACCTAGAAATCACAGTCTCCTTAACCACTACACCAAACTGGCCCTCAACTGCACATTTTATTGGCAAAATATGCTGGATTATTGCCCTGCCAAAAATCCTGTTTGCTGAGGACAGGATGCGATCCAAGCCAAGTGTTTTAAAAGCCTTTGACAATATTGAATGGCCCTTGAATCTTACAATCAAATTTGGACTTGTCCCAATAACAGTTATGTAACCCCATCCACTTAAAACCTAAGGAGCTATGGCTTTGTAGGCAACCTTGAAACATGATCTGACATTCTATTAATGATAATCTTGTTTTATAAGTCCAATCTTTCTCTTAATGAAATTGCCTTCACGTCATCTTATACTCAGTAATAAACAGAGATTGATTGAATCTTGCATATCTATCAATAGGGCAACTGACATACAATCCAAATAATCAAAACATGTTTTCCAGCAAGGGAAACAATGGGGCAGATAAGTTCCTGGCTCTTAAACTTGTAAACCCTGTCTTTCATCTTTAAGTTGAACAAGGAAATATTTAACAAAATATCAGTTTCGCCATTTTCCCTAATGTCCTGCCCACCCAATATTTCCAACTAAAATGTCTATTATTCCTATTGGCCCTGTTGATTAGATGACAGGATCTGTATCCCAAATCTCTCAACAGTATCTCTCTACCCTTAATGCTATCTGTCTGACATGCCTCAAGAAAGAAACTACTGTTCCAGCTTCTGTCTGATACATCTTATAGTAGTTTGCAAATTCCTGTAAGTACCTAATACTCCTGCTTCCTATTTTCCCCACAACAACAACCCTGCCCAAAGTCACCCAGTGTATATAAGTATAAAAGAGGTACCTGAAATGTCTTAGTATTTTTGCTGTGATCATACAACTATGTGATTTTATTAGCTGAATGCAACATTTCTTGCTGCCATACTAACCAATCATGTTACCTTATTCCTTATCCCAAGCAATTATGTGGCAAATTCCAGGTTGCCACTCTGAAGTCACTCAGCACTTTTAGGCAGGGTGTATATCTTGCAGAAAGCCTATTAAAATGCTACAGAATGCTGTTCATAAGCTGAGATGAGGTTAATTGCAAAGCAACAGGATAAGGGGCAGCATGAATCACCCTCAAGTCTCTGAGATGAAACACATGCTAACAAAGACTTTGAGCCTGCTAGCTAGATGAAATGCATTGATTAATCCAGTACCAGAAAGAAAATGGAACAAGAGCTAAAATGTTCAAAGTCAAGACAGAAATGGTGACAACACTTAAGTTCTACCTTGAACATCTGTTCCTAAGGATGATCACACAGCCCTTGAGATCATAGAATCAAAAGAGTTGGAAGGGCCATTTAGGCCCGAGTCCAAACACTGCTCAGTGCATGAAACCAAATTAAAGCATCCCAGACAGTTGACTATACATCTCCACCTGAACACATCCAGGTGTTCTATATCAGCCTATATCAGCCTCCACCTGAACACATCCAGTGAAGGGAAGCCTACCACTCATCTGGGTAGTTGGTTCTACTGCCAAACTGCTCTTATTATTAGGAAGTTTCTTCTAATAATTCTACAATTATCTTCTAACTACAATTCAATTAGAATCTACCTTCCTAGAACTTAAATTCATTATTTGTTGTCCCACACTCTGAATGACAGAGACCAGGTTTCAATCAATACAGCCCCCAAAGAGCTGCTGCTTGATCCTTTAGGTGCCCAACTGCAAGCATCTGAAGTAAGGATAAAAGGGCATACGTAACAAGAGAACAGAACAGTGGACTGTATTAAGAATTGTCTTATTAAGACTGTATTAGAAATGTGGCCCAGCTGCTCTCCCTGTTTTTTCAGGAGGAATACTACTAGCTGACCAGAAGCACAAAGATTAGAGCTGTGCAAAAGAGGCTCTTTGTAATGTACATGAGTACCACTGAAGCATTTCTTTTTGAGTTGTTAAAGCAGCCAGGTCTTTTGCAAGGCTAGTTCAGCTGTTTGGAAGCTGCTTGTGGCTCTGCATCATATCCACATGGAGACAGATAAGAGTAACTTATGAAGTAGTTACACAAAACTTGCACATAAAAGGTTGCCTTAATGGCTCAAAAAGAGGCATTTCATAGGTGTTCCTGTGTGCTTTGAAGCACCTCTTCTGAAGGCTTTGCATAGCCCTAATCAAGATGTATGGGTTGGGAGGAAAATAGGAGAGTGGGAGCAACATTATTTCCTCCCCCCACCAGCCCTTCATATCTATGGAGCCATAAAATGTTTGTATTTTATTTCAAAAATATGTTACATTTTATTGCAATTAACTAATCAACTTGTTGCAATCTGTTTTTTAAAAAACAAGAACATTAAACTATATATAAATTAAAATGAATTTTAATGGATTTCCCAAACTTTCTCACAATAAGCCTCCCTAAATGAAAACAGTCATAGTAGCAACACAGGAGAAACCATGCCTTGAATGCGCCCATTTAAAAATTATATAGAGCATGGCCCCATCCAATGATCTTGGCTGGTCAGGTTTTATTTGAAAGAAAGTATTTTCTAAGATACTACTTAGAGCTATAGAAATCAAAAGTAGCATGTTACATTGTTCCTGAAAATTAACCAGCAAATAATAAAGTTTTTGGCTATCACAATAGTATACCACTGATTTACAGACAATTGAAGGGGGGGGGTTCTTAGCCTGGCTCTCGCTATCTCGCCTCTATTTCGCTTGTGCTAGGAAGAAACTGCCTGAAGGACATGTACACAGAAGACCTTGAGGGGGGAGAGCGCAGGGAAAAGGTCTTGAGGGTAAAGG